GCGCTCTATTTTTCTATTCTTAATACACTTCTACTGCTACCTAACTACCCCATTGCTATTATCCTGTAACAATACCACTACCATACCACAGTGCTACTACCTAACTACATTTTTATTACTGTTTTACTGTACTTCCACTGCTACGTTACTATACTACTACCTTACTATACTACTAGGATAGCTACAGTGCTACCTACTGGAACCACTGTATTATGCAAAATGTGTATTAGTTCATGGAACACAATTTAGATCACCATTGGAGAATATTTCAGAATACAGAAATTTTGGTCAAGGAATATAAAGAAGTTAGGCCAAGAAGATGGAAAAACTAAGAGAACCCACCCAAGAGGAGTTTCAGTATGTCAGTGGTTACCAGTAAGTGAGTTTCCTGGCTACAGAGCTCAAACATTCTGGGGCAAAAGACTCAGCAGCAGTTTTGGTTTGATGTCATAAGGGTTCATCACTTGAGTGGCTGGCCTGGTTTTCCTCAATAGTAAGAATCTAAGGAATGTTTACCTTTTATTCCTCTTCCAAGCATTAATTATATACTTTTGTTTATAATTTTATGGTAATCCACAGACAATAATTGAGAAATATTGCTGAGGGAATGTGTTCTCTTTCCGGGTCCACAAGGGGGCATAGTTTTAAGGGCAAGAACTTCCCAGGGCCATGCCCCACTCCCATCTGGGAGATTTAACGGAAAAAACTAAGATTCAATCACCCCAGCGGAAGCTTAAAGGAACTCCTTTCACTAGCCAGAGGAACTTGGGGAGGTGGGAATTTCCCCAGGATAAATTCCCCTGCTCCTTCACCCATGCCAGATTTCCAGCTCTCTGGAATCAGCTCCCACATAGTGGGAGCTCTCTTTCCCCTCCTGGATTTCTCCTCTGGGGTCCCCTTCCACCTTCATGGAAGCTGTCTTTCCTCTCCTGGATTCCATCTTTCTGGATTCTCTCACTCAGTGTGAAGGGAGTTTTACTTCTCTGGTTTTCTTCCTCTGGGAACCCATCAAACTCAATGTGAGGAGCGGCTTTTCTTTCTCTCATTCAGTGTGAGAGCTGACTGTTTCTTTCACTCTCCTTCTCCTTTTTCTCTCTGTACGTAAATAAATCACTTTACTGCAACACTTTTGGGAGTCTGTTATTTATTTCACAAGCGCACTGCGCGTGGCCTCCTCCCTCATTCTTTAGAGAGTGATAGATCAAGAACCTGGAGAAACGTCCTCTCAGGGAAGCTGAGGGCTCCCCTGAACCCCTGAGCCCCAACATTGCCAGTGAAGGACTAAGTGATGAATGAGTGGAAAATACTCCGCATATACATATGGATTTTTTTTTTTTTTTTTTGAGATAGATTCTTGGTCTGTCACCAAGGCTGGAGTGCAGTGGCATGATCTTGGCTCACTGCAGCCTCCACCTCCCAGGTTGAAGCAATTCTTCTGCCTCAGCCTTCCGAGTAGCTGAGACTACAGGCATGTGACCCACGTCTGGCTAATTTTTGTATTTTTAGTAGAGACTGGGTTTCACCGTATTAGCCAGGCTGGTCTTAAACTCCTGACCTCGTGATCTGCCTGCCTCTGCCTCCCAAAGTGCTGGGACTACAGGCGTGAGCCACCAAGCCCAGCCCATAAGGATTTATACTCATAGATATTAACAGGCCAGCAAATGATGGCTTTTCTCAGTTTCATTTTATATTCCATGCAAATTAAATTGTACAAAGACAATATGACTCCCAAAGATGATGGCTGAGTCTTTTTTTTTTTTTAATAGAGACAGAGTTTCTCCATGTTGTCAAGGCTGGTCTCAAACTCCTGACTTCAGGTGATCCACCTGCCTCGGTCTCCCAAAGTGCTGGGATTACAGGCATGAGACACCACGCTTGGCCAATGGCTGAGTCATTCTTTTCTTCAGTGTCTTTTACATCATCTTTGTTCAGGAAATATTTGCTGAGTTTAGTAGAAAGAAGATTCCCCAAATTCTAATGATATTAGCAGTACTGCTGCTATATTTCTCATTCAAATATATGTATCAAGTTCAGCTACCCTGCCAGCAATCGAACAAAACAAACTCACAATGTACCTGAAAGATTGAGAGTCTATGACACGGTAAGCAGTTCAAGTAAATCCGACAGTCATTTATTCAGCCTACACTATGTGTAATGCACTGCAGAGCTGCTCATCCATTAAGGCAGAGAGGGTATGTACATGAATATCCATAATTCAAGGCAATTTTCTCTATTAATAGAGAAATAAATAATGTACTGGGATGTGAAACATGGCAGAGACAAGGCAAGAAACTGAAACTAGTGCCAGATTGTGGAGCAGTTTGAATGCCGGGCACCACCCTAATCGTCACTGATAAATCCTTCTGTCGCCATTCGCAAAGGCTGAAAAAAATATGGAGACACAAAGCCTGAACGGCCTCATTACCCTAATGGGCACAGCATGGAGTAGCCTGATAGTACTGACACCACTTCCAGGAATAAAACCATGTTCATGATAAAATGCCCAACCTTACTGTCTCCAGAACATTCAGTTATGAACAGTTATGCACCAATTACTTTGTATTTTAATCAATATCATTGAAGCAAGCCAGACTTAAAACTCTTTAATGCCACAGGCAACAAGATAAAAATTATGAAAGTTAAAAAAGTTACATATTCCCCCTAAGGGCACCATTCTGTAATTCCAAGGCCCACTCTCCTCTCCCTTTCATCTCTCATATTGACACAAAAAGAGGAGGAAAATATATGAAAAGAGTTAAAGTGGCTCACAAAGAGTTCTGAGAGAGGGAGGTGGAAAGAGAAAGTAGAAACCATGCAGGGCTTGGGATATAAGAAAGTATGGAAGTATTGGGGAAAGGGGAGAAAAGGATATAATGGTTATGATTTGGATCCTTGTTTATGTCCTTTGAGAAATACAAGTAAAGAACAGATTTCTCTTTTAATTTAGGGGAAGAAATGAGATTGGCTATTGCACTGTGTTTCTTGAATGCCAACTGAAACCTTTGGGACCCCAATGTATTAGGGTTGCAATGAAATCTAAAATATTTTGGTTGATGTGAAATGCAATGAATTTATGCCAGGCATTTCCTAACTATGCAATTAAATTCTGATTTAACCCAGAAAACTATTTTCTTAACCTAGTGATACAATTTCAAGACGATGGAAATGAAAATGAAACATTAAGCGGTTTTAATTAGGACAAGGGCTGTGGTTGTTGTCTAACTACCTATTATTTTTCCCAAAAGCAAGCTTCTTGAAGTATCTAGGTCAGAAATTAAAGCCTCTCAGTATCAACTGAAGTGTAAATGCAAGCCATTAATGAAAGCTTCATTCCTTTCCAATCTATGGACTGCATTAGCCAGTTAATGTTGATCTTTTGGAGTGCTATTTTAAAATTTCATAATGAAAAGATATGTGTGTGCGTGTGTGTGAATTCATACTACATAAGTGACTTATGCTGTCATATATATCAAATTAATTTAAACATGTAATAACCAAATGTCACTAAAAAACCTGGCTTGCAATTTGTTTATTGTTAATATTTGATATCAAAATGTCTTGGAATCTTGAAGCTATAGCTCAAATAATTTAATCTCTCTCTCTGTCTCACACACACACACACACACACACGCACGCACACAATATTAATTATTGCTCAGTGTTCCAGAAAGTGTATGCCTTCTCCCCTAATACCAAGTATAAAATTAAAACTTCCCAAATTAGCTGGGTGTGGTAGTGCACACCTGTAGTCCCAGCTACTTGGGAGGCTGAGGCAGGAGAATCACAGAGCAAGACCCCGCCTCAAAAAACAAAACAAAACAAAAAAAGAAAAACTTCCCTTCCCCCAAAGCAAGCTTAAAGATTAAATAAGCTAAAAGATTGTAATACTCAAAGGAACTAAATGCTTGCATCCAGACCCAAGATATCTCTAAAACAAGCAAGTAGAAGAATCACACAATCTGCAGTAGTAAATACAAGTACAGAGTCGCTGACATCTATAACATCAATGTGGGAAGGGGAAACTAAAACAGAGGAACAATGACTCCTTTTTTTTTTTTTTTTGAGACAGAGTCCCACTCTTTCACCCAGGCTGGAGTGCAGTGGCGTGATCTTGGCTCACTACAACCTCTGTGCCTCCCAATTTCAAGCGATTGTCCTGCCTCAGCCTCCCAAGTAGATGACTAGATGGGACTAGTCTCGTGCCACCACGCCCACCTAATTTTTGTATTTTTAGTACAGACGGGTTTTCACCATATTGGTCAGGCTGGTCTTGAACTCCTGACCTTGTGATCCGCCTGCCTTGGCCTCCCAAAGTGCTGGGATTACAGGCGTGAGCCACTGCCTGTAATGACTCCCAAAAGAAAAATGACTACCAAAAAAAGAGAAAACAATCTGTGTGTAAATTGCTTATCATCATGACTTATATAATTATTTAATAGTCATTAGTATGACAACCAGGTAGCAATTGCTCACTCAGAAATTAAGTACCTTCAGATTTGCATGCACCTAATGGATATATCAATATGATAAACATATGACTGTGGTGTAAAGCCCTTTGCAGATTTGCTTAAAGGAAAAATTTTATTCTTCAATTGAATAAAAGCTAAACATAGTTCTTTTATTTTTTATTATTTTAATTTTTTGGTGACAGAGTCTCACTCTGTTGCCCAGGTTGGAATGCAATGGTGCCATTTCAGCTCACTGCAACCTCCACCTCCCAGGTTCAAGAGATTCTTCCTGCTTCAGCCTCCCAAGTAGCTGGAATTACAGGCATCCGCCACCATGCCCAGTGAATTTTTTGTATTTTTAATAGAGACAGGGTTTCGACATGTTGGCCAGGCTGGTCTGGAACTCCTGACCTCAGGTGATCCACCTGCCTCAGCCTCCCAAAGTGCTGGGATTACAGGTGTGAACAACCTCGCCCGGCCAAGCTAAACATAGTTCTAAATACAAGTTCTCTCTATTCTCTGAGGATTGTGAAATCCCCTCTTCTTTTGATAAAGATCAATGAAGGGACTGAGGCTGAAAAGCAGTCTCTAATCTCCCTTCCTTAGCTCCAGTATACTTCAGTCCCAGGCCACATCCCAAGGAAAGAGAAGGTAGGGGTGGAATGAGGAGAGAAAAATAGGTTCAGAACCACTTTAGGGTAAAGGTTGATCCGGGCAACACACAGATATATTATTTGGCCCACCGTGTTTTCAGATGGAGAAAATTTACATTTAAATAAATCCAGATTTCTGGCTGGGTCCAGTGGCTTATACCTGTAATCCCAGCACTTTGGGAGGCCAAGGCAGGTGGATCACTTGAGGTCAGGAGTTCAAGACCAGGCTGGCCAACAAGGTGAAACCCCATTTCTACTAAAAATACAAAAATGAGCCAAGCATGGTGGCATGTGCCTGTAATCCCTGCTATTCGTCTGAGGCAGGAGAATCGCTTGAACCCAGGAGGCGGAGGTTACAGTGATCCGAGACCACACCATTGCACTACAGCTTTGGAGGGAAATAGTTAGAAGAAGATCCAGAATCTCTACATCCTATGCTCACTTCAGCTAGAGATGAGTACCTCTTGCTAAGCGTAAATAGGACAGATGTTCTCTAGTTCACCACAATCTTGAGTTGATCCACTTTAGTCATGTCTGTTACCTGCCAGACCCTATCGGCATGCAGGTTTACCATGCAGGCATTAACATATCTCATAAAAGCCCCAGATAAGGACACAGAGAGGGGAATATCACACACCAGGCCCTGTTGGGGGTTAGGGGGCTAGAGAAGGGACAGCATTAGGAGAAGTACCTAATGTAGATGATGGGTTAATGGGTGCAGCAAACCACTATGGCATGTGTATATGTAACAAACCTGCACATGTATCTTAGAACTTAAAGTATAATTTTTAAGGCCGGGCGCGGTGGCTCAAGCCTGTAATCCCAGCACTGTGGGAGGC